GCTGTGTGTTTGCCTCAGTTGCCTATCAACCCCTTCAGCCTGAGGAGCAAGGCTATGACCTGACAGGAGCTTTGAAGTTCCATTTGCTCGTCCCCCTTGAACTCCTTCCAGTTTAGAGCATGGCTGAGTGTGTGGCAGGAAGAGAGCGACGCTGGTTCTCCTCTTTGGTGTCGTTTGAAATAATTCCCAGGCTCCAATCCTTTGCTATGGTGGGTGGGGATGCCGGTCTGTGAGGAATTTACAGCGTGTGGGCAGTTTGTTATTGCTTGCTCTGAGGAAGGGGACTAAGCCGAGTGGGAGGCTCCCTTTGGACATGTGACAGTCATAATCACATTCCTGCGCTCACATGACTGACTCCTTCCATGTGTCCAGGAGACATGTGTGCGCTGCCTTTTCAGCTAAAAGGGAAGTGTAAGGCACGTGACAACCGTGCCTTTTTTTCTACTTGGTTTAAAGACTCTTAGTTCTTAATACTCAACAGTTCTCGCTATTCCAAAAATTGTTAGTGCCCAGTTTACTAATCTATAACTTATTTTTTAAATTAGGCATAATAACCGCTTTTAACTAGATTGCCAGGGACGCCCTGTATTTAGCAAGTACTGCATATCCAGGAAACCTGGGCAGTGAAGAGTTTCCAGACAAGCCTTGCTTTAGGACGCCCACGTACAGGGCAGAGAGCATTGAATCTGGACGAGGGACTCACCAGAGTTGGGGTACCTACCTAGGTCTTTCCTGATGGACCTCAGAAATAGTTCCCCGTGTATGCATCTTACTATGTGGAATTTTGGAATCTTCAAGCAATTTTTCTGGTGTAAATAATAAAAACTCCGTATCTTTATATTAGCCAGAAAAATAAAAACACCCAAACCTGTCGTATGACGGTTGTGAAGGCGGGGTGGGGCAGCGGGAGGTGGGAAAGACTTTTCTGTTTCAGGGACTTGTGCTTTTCTTCCTTGAATCCTTACAAATATATGGCAGGAACCGCTCACAAATTCTTAAAGAAGTTGCCGCTGTCCCCACCTGCCCACCCTTGTTTGTTCTCTTTTGGCCGTCACTACCTAAGGGCCAGCTTGGTCTCATCTGGGCTCATCATGCGTTGAGTCAGTCACTAGACGCATCAGCTAGGTGAAATGATCTAACGTTGTAAAAACAACGTTTGAGCCATTGTGGGTACAAATTCCAACCAACGGAACACGTTTTCAAACTGTGATCACCTATGTCTTCAAGGGTTAAAAATTCCGTAGCTTTAATATTGCTGTTTAAAAGGATGAACACGGTATGACTAGACAGGATGTTAATGACTTGACATTACAAAAATTTATTAAATTTATTTTTAAAGTGGTTTGGTTCCCCCTTTCAAATGCATGAAGCGTGTGGGAGTTGGAATAGATCTGCCCCAGGCTGCCAAAACAAATTTTTAATGGAACTGGAGTCCTTCAGGGATTGTCCTAAATCCACATAATATTCTTAAGTCCTGGTGTTTGCACTGGGACCTGTGTATTAGCAGATGTACGTGCGAATAATATACGTAGAGCCATCCATCACCCGGATGACTCCACGTTCTCAAGGGCTGGCGCACATCAATTATTCCACCTCGGGGGGTAGGGAGATATTTGGGCTAGCATTGACCTCCTTTTCAATCAGGGCTTCCAAACAGTATGTTCTGGAAGTCAAATAGTCCCTTCAGACAGAACCTCTGTTTGAGAATGCGCTTGGCCTGATGTCGCCATGCTGAGAAGTCAATGTGATTACCTGTGTCAGGTGTGGAGGCAGCATCCGGAGAAGCAAATGAAAATCCCGTCACTCGGAGTCACCGTCAGCATCCGGGATCTGCCCCATCTATCTACAGCGTGCATAAGTTATTAGCCAGTCTATCAGGAAAGACTGTCAGCCTCGGTGAGCTGCATCTACATCCACACACAAAAGCAACTCTTTGAGATAGATTAGAAGTTGCTCGAGGAGCGAGATTCACTTTCAAAGGCTTGGAGCCGTTTTTTATGAAAGAAGGGAGTAAAGCCTCCTGAGGAGGAATGGGGATAGATTTTTTTTTGTGTGTGTGTGTTTTTTGTCTGTTTGTTTTAAAGGAAAACAAAGACTATTTTTAAACATATGGTTTTGATTAAAAAAAATTAAAGAAACAAACAAACAAACTTGGAAGTTATTCCTTCAGTGCACAAAGTTCTCTTCTGAAGCTCCTGGTGTCAGGGCTAAAGGGGCGTGACAGGTTGCTGTGTGACCGGTCAAGCGGTGACAAAGGTAACCACTTCATTTTGCTGGGAAAATGTACAATTGAGGTAGCGGCTGACCATCTATTTAATTGCGTGGTGAGTGCCATATGATGAGGGGGTAAAGTTAAATTGATGATTCAGGCTACCCCAGCCAGGGTACGGTTTACATGGCAATTATACTGGGTCATCTGAGTGTAATTGGCAAGTAATTTTGTAAGCGAAGGAACATGACAGCTCATTTACATGGTGTTCACTGAGTAAAATTTGGGGACATTCATCAACCACTCTAGAGCGCGGAGTGATTGCATTGATATCCCCGAACGCTGCAGGCCGTTGGATGCTGGTTTACGGACGTGCAGTTGTGTGCAGCGCGCTAGGCGCTTTCATTCGAACGCGGGTGAAATCACCGCTCTTTTTCTCAGGGAGCTCACGGGTAGGAGACAGACACACCCAACATTTTAACCGAGTGTGGTAAACGGAGGCTGGGCGCTGTGGATGGATGCCATTGGAGGGTGAGTGTCGAGGGTGGAAGATCAGGGAAGCCTTGCCAGGGAGGGTGACACCAAATTGAATTATGGGACTTTGATGAAACAGTACTTGCCAGGTAGAGGCCTGGTGAGAACAGAATCGTAGAGGAGCCACTAGACTAGGGGGTGGGAGACTCTCAGAGCTGACCTGACAGGACCTGCGGTCAGACAAGGCCTGAGTCTGGCTAGCAGCCCAAAGACTTAAGAAGAGGTGGGCCCTATCTAGCTGTTATGAAGATAGACCATTTTGTATAGTAACAATTACTGTGCTGTTGTGATATACTAGGCTCTATTCTCTGTGTATCGAGGGATTTTTTTTTTCTTTACGACCACCCAGAAAATAGACACTAAGATTCCTTTCACAAACGAGGGCACTAGATAGACAAAGGTTGCCCAGGATTACACAGAGAGTGGTGGAGGAGCCGGGCTTTGAACACCCCTATCCAGTCCTGAAGGCCTTGCTCACCGCTAGCACGAGCCCATCCCGTGCTGTTGGCTTCCTTAGCACAGTCCGCTGGGATTCCAGACTAACTCTGTCCTGTGCCCACTGTGCCCTCTAAGCTCTGAGCACGCTGTCAGGGCGGTGACTTGCCGTTCTGCTCAAAGTCACACCTCTAAGTCCGAGACAGCAGTGCCTGTGTTACCCCCAACATACAACAAAGGTGTAGCTCTGAGGGAGGAAGGGAGGACAGGCCAGAGACCTCTGCCGTCAGCCTCACAGGTGAAACATTGAGGGCTGGGAGCTAAGGGGGTGTGAGTGCGGAGACGCGTGGACGGAGCCGGAAACGGGGCGTGTGGATCCTGTCGGTACACCCTTGCGTCACTTCTGATTTCTAACCGAGGAACAGGGAGGTTCACACTGCTCCCCGCTGACCGCTTAGATTCCTGGGAAGAACTATGTGGACTCAGGATAAAAGTTAGAAGAGACTTCCCCAGAGGCAGCTAAAAATAGAAGGGGCGGTCCGGGGACAGAACCACCCTGGGGTAGATGAGTGGTTGGATGGCCTTTGGGATTCTTCTCTCTTTGAAAATTCTCTAGATTAAAGTAAATAAAACTCCTGTTTCCTTTCCTAAACTGCCTGGATGAAAAAAAAAAAGGATAAAAATCAAAGTATTCAAGGGCTGGAAAATATTGAGTCCAAAAGCCTTGATTATAGATAAAGGAAGGAAGCCCCGAGGGCTACATGATTCATCCGAGGACACCCCTCCAGGAGGAAGACAGGGTCATTGGCTTCCCTTCCTTTTGTCTCCAATAGTAACATTTTTGTCTTGGATGTCCCCGTGGGCAAGCCACTGGTAGACGGTGGCACAAAAGCAAGAGACTTGGCTTTTGTCTCTAGGGAAAGTGGAGTGTTGACAATAAGGGGTGCCTGTCACGTGACTACCTAGGACATTGAGAAAAATGAGAAAATTGAATTTAAACATTCTTAAGAGGAGTTAGAGAGATGGCCTGGTGGGTAAGACCGTTTCACTGGCAAGCACGAGGACCCGAGTTCAAATTCTTGGTAGCCACGTAAGAAGCCAGGCATGGCTATACGTGACTGCAGCCCCAGCACTGGAGAACAGAGTCCTAAAGCTTACTTGGCAGGCAGCCCAGCTTAAAGGATGAGCTTTTGGATCAAGCGAGAGACACTGTCTCAGGGAATTAGGAACTAGAGCGTAAGACATCTCATGTGTTGCCCTCCGAAGAATGTGCACGGGCCTGTGTTCCGAACATTCCTGTACATACAGCACACACCTGTACCACACATATAAAACATACAACATAGCAAATCACACACGCACACTCTCTCTCTCAAATCCACATGGATTCTTGGAATCCCTAGTCATTCCTATCCAGTTCTAACACGTTCCATTGACTGTCTCTGAGTCTTGCAACCCTACGGTAGTATTTTTTTTTTCACTTAATGCTTTGGAAAAATCCCGGAAACATAACCTGCTTCATGAGATCTGACCATGGTTACTCCTGAGCCCACTGTCCGCAAACGATAACGTTCATTATGTTGTCTTGCAGCCGACTTTGTCCTTGCAATGAGATTGTTTACATATCAACATCTATAGTTTTATCACGATAGTTCTGAGTCATTTTGGGTTGTGCAGTCTATCTGTGTGAATTGTCTCATCATCATTTGAATTGCTATATAATATCTTACTTTCAAGAGATACCTGAAATATTTACTGAAAGAACTCTCATTCTCGACTCCCAGCATATTTTGAAGAATTTATTTTATATCGTGAGCAACTGTACATTTAGCTTATGTACATGGCTTTGTGGGGCAGTGAGCAGGAGCCGCTGAGCTCCTCATGGTGATTATAACCTGCTTCCTTGCCAGGGGCCCTCTGAGAGTCCAAAGAGCACTTGTTTGACCAGGGACAGAGTAGGTCCTGGGCAGAGAGACAGTAAGTGACTTCAAGCTGTGGCTTTTCCACTAAATACATATTTCCCCCCTGCCCTGAGGGAGTGAGAATCTTTGTGTGAAGACGTGTCACCAAGTGTCTTACTCGTCAGCATGCGCCCACCATCTCTTCAGGTGACAGCAGGAACAAGTTCATCAGTTCAATGTGCCTTTCACATTCAGAGACTCCTGACTAATAAAATCTGGTATTTATCATCAGAACAGCCAAAGAACTGGATTCTGGCACACGCTGCTCTCACGCATGGAGAGGAACTTGAAAAGACAGAAGATTTGCTCCAATTTTCTTTCTTCTCTTCATCTAGAAGCAAAAGCATACCTTTTTCCAATTAAAAAGAGTATGAGCACACGGAAACATCTGGCCCGTATCACCGCGGCAGCCTCCTAGAACGGCCCGCTTTGCCTCCAGTGTGTCCTTTTGAAAAATCGAGTCTGCAGCAGCCAGCAAGCGCTTCCTAGCTCCTAGGTCTGCAGCAGCCACTGCTGTCCCTGCCGTATTCCTCATGGCTCCTTCATGGTCCCGAGGGTCGGCTCCTGTGTGGTCATCGTTGCTCCCTACCCTGCCTGCAGCCTGTCCCAGCCACATGGAGCACTCAGGGCTCCTGGGCTTTTGCTCCCCAGAGGACATCTCTGGACTTGTAGGCAAGCCAGTTAGTTCATTCCTTATAAGCTCTCTTTAGACCCTGCCAAGACTGGATCTCATGGGCTCCCACAGCCCCTGTCAGCACTGTTCTTTTATACTTGGCTAGTGTAGTAGGTTTTAATTTAAACAAACAAACTTGAATCTCATTGGACAAGGCTATTATTTGCTCAATTTTGCTTGAGGCAAATAGCCCCACCACTTTGTATCACACATAAGATCCCAATCCCACATGTAACCTATGCTAGGCCATTATTCCTATGACCCGGTGCACTAGACTATAAACTGCCTGCAGGCTGGTGGTTGTCCACTGCTAATTTATATTTTATATATATATGCATATATATACATATATATATATGCATACACACACACACACACATATATATAATCTTTAGGTCGCTTGTGTGGCTTCACAAATGTACCGAGACTCATGGTGCTCGTTGGACCTGGCAGATGCAGACAGTACCCACGGGGTGGCTGAGTGTCTGTTACCCTACAATGCTAGGAAGATGGGATCACATTGAACATTTAAGCCTTTGAATGTGCTCATTCCCCCGTCTCCGGTCCTAGGTTATCCCTCAGACACGATCATTTCTGTGCTCCATTGGGAGTTCCTTATTTCATCCCACGGGCATGCGTGGTCTGCTTCATCACCCCTGATCGTGGCTCAGGTGTAGTCATGGGCATAGCTGAATGTCCGATTCAGATTCATACAAGCCGACCATGCCAGATGTAATTACACCACTGCCCATTGGTTAACTCATGACAATCGTTTTGATAATCTAGCCATTGAATCTTCTTTTAAAAAATGTTTTGGAAAATGACATATCGATCGATCGATTGATTGATTGATTTTGTGTACATGGGCGTGGGTGGGGGTGTATATAACATGGTGGAGATCGGAGGGCATTTTTGAGGAGGTGGTTCTGTCCTTATACTAGAGATCATGGTCGAGTTATCTGGTTTGGTGGTAGGAGCCTTAACTCTCATCAATATTTTGCTTGTTTAGACACTTGATTAACTAATTAATTCCCTGTGTGTTTATATGAGTGTGAGTGTGGAAGCCAGAGGAAAACTTGCACGAGTCAGTTTTCTCCTAGTGCGTGGGTCCTAGGGATCGCACTGCAGGCGCCAGGCTGGCTGGCGAGAGCCTTCACCCACAGAGCCATCTCTCAGCCCTTCACTGAGTTTTCCTTCCTCTAGTTCCTCTCTTCTTTTTTTTTTTTTCCTCACTCAGTTGCACACTGCTTTAAGGACGCTGGAAAAGAAATCCGCATTCCCTTGGATTCAGGCTGCTGTCTGTGGGACATTTCACATTATCAGTGGCCTAGGGTCCTGGAGCAAGCCCTTGCCAATGTCCTTGCCACAAATTCAGTCCCTAGAGAACTCTTTGCACGGTCAGGGCGTGGTACAGGTGTGGCAGAGGGACTAAAGATGCCATAGGTATTCTGGGGAAAATACACCAACGGTGTAAGGATGGGGGTGTGTCCAGCTATCAGGCTAAAGGAAAGAACAGGAGAAACCGGACCCTTTTTTAGGGAGCGGTGGGGGCAACACCCAGAGGGTTTCCTCAAGAATGCTTTAGCAGGAGGCTGGAGAGATGGCTCAGAGGTTAAGAGCATTGTCTGCTCTTCCAAAGGACCTGAGTTCAATTCCCAGCAACCACATGGTGGCTCACAACAATCTGTAATGGGGTCTGGTGCCCTTTTCTGGCCTGCAGGCATACACAGAAACAGAATATTGTATACATAATAAATAAATAAATATATATAAAAAAAGAATGCTTTAGCAGCCTGGCATTCCACTGACACTTTCGTTAATGTGCCCGCTGGGCTGCCTTCTCGGGGGCCTGTTGTGAATTCCTTGCTTGATATTATTAATGGTTAATGGGCACACCTGAAATCAAGCAATAATGTACCATTTGCGTAAAAGTTATATTAAATGGTTCTTTTATACAACATCGAGCTTATCAGATTATCTCGCTCCTAATAACGAGTGCCTCGTCGTTGCCAATTTCCTTATCAGATGTTTCCACATCTACCCAAGTGCAGCCGCTTCCAGCCGCGGCGGCACTGTCTCCTCCGTTTCAATGATATCGAGGTGCCAGCCTCCTCAAGGGTCTTCCCTTCTCTCTGGCACGGAGGCACAGGCCCGATGTGCCTCTTGGGAAGCTGGTGGTCACCAGCCGTTTGATACAGGCACATTCGGAGTCAAAGACAGCACGAGGCAGAACTGAGTGATGTGGAATTTTTACGACAGGCTTCTCCCTGAAGTCTGGGGCTGCTGAATTAGTCTCAGCCGTTTCTCTTTTCCCTGCTCCCTTTGCTGAAACTCGTGTACTCTAGTCTGTGTGGTGGAGCCCCAACACACAGGGACAAAAAGCAAAGGATGCTATGCTTCACTGTAAGATAATAAACATTTAGTAATCCAGGGGCACTGCCTTCATTGGGCGGAACAGAGGTATAGAGGAGGCTGAAGCAATGGCGCAGCAGTTAGCTAACATTTACTTGCTCTTACAGAGGACCCAGGTTCTGACTCACAACCACCTCTAGTTTTATGTCGGGGGAACCCCACGCCCTCTTCTGGCCTTCACAGGTACTGCATGCCCACGGTGCCACAGCATACACACAGGCAAAATACCCCTACACAGAAAATAAAAACATCTACAGATATTTTTAAACAATTATCTTTAAGAGGAAGCGTTAAGATTCCTGAACACTGTGTATTTTATTTTATTCAAATGCATACCTGTAGCCGAAGGCACAAATGGGGAAAAACTGCAGAGCGGTGTGTTGGGAGCGCAGATAGTGTCCTTTCTAGAACGTTCGCTGTGATGATACCGCATCTTGTGAAGGAAGGCTGGCTGGCGCAGTTCTTCACTTTGAATTGCCTTAGTCCAATCCTTATTTCTATGCTGCATCTGGTATTTCTCTCACTTCCAGGTTTTCTTTTCGTTCTGATTCTGTCTTTGGTACTTAAAAAAAAATAAATAAATGTTCCTCTAAAAAGTAAAGAACAGCTCACATTCACCGCTGAGCATCCAAGACAACTCACTCTGTACTCGCCAAGTTCCGCTGCCCATTAAGGCCAAAATCCATGCTTATTGGTCCCCAGGTCTCCAGTGGTGTTATAGACGGCACGCAGTTCATGAATCACTGAGTTGAAGATCCACTCTCACAATTTATGATTATCCAGCTCTTCAATTCAAATTAAATCCAGTGTGGAGTTAACACGGCCTGTGTCATGTATGCTTAATATAAAGTATAGCACAATGTGGCTTTTAAAGACAAAGCCCAGAAGGCGCAGAAACCCTAGTATAGCCCCTAGCTGCCCCTCTCCATCCGGTGCCTCATGCAGAGTCGAGGAACAGAGATGAATCAAACCATGCTGTATTAGTGGATGCATATACGTGCGCATCAGGCTTCCGGGTTTTTCTGCTGACAACTTCTATGGTTTCATAAGTACTTAAGAAAAGCTCACATGTGCAGGTGGGAATTCATTATATTTTATCGAGGACGGCTACTCTCGATAGAACCTATGGGGTGTGACTTTTCATAAAAACCTAATGAATTTCTAGATTTGTTGAGCTGCTTCCAAACAGATGCGTGCTGCTAATCTAACGGAAATGTTTAGAGCCTAGACCCCAAATATCAATAGCTTTTAGTATTGCAAATTTGTCTGTCTGTTGGGTAAATTGGGCTGTGTGGTTCTCGATTCAAAGCAGCAAGTGATTCTGCATGCGTGTTTTGTGCGTGACTGCCTCACTGGAGCCTGACGGCCGTGTGCTCCTTTGCAGAGTTTCAAGTTGAACGTGGACAGTCACTGTGCTCTCAAGGAAGCCGTGGAGGAGGAAGGACACCAACTCCTGGAGCTCATTGCTTCGCACAAAGCAGGTAAATCCTCCTGAAATATTGCGGGTCTTTATGTCTCCAGACTATTAAGAATGAAGAAGCATTGCTGTAAATTACTGCATATATTCACTTCCTTATGTATTATTAATATTTACATTATCAGATTGACCTTCAAGATTTATAAATGTTTCATATACTGCATACAATGCTGTGATACTTGTACGATGAAATAGTGCCTCCAACCGCCTGTTCATTTTATTTGGGGCTTACCATTCGCCTGAGTTCCAATTGAAATCCCATTCCCGACAACTTCTCGTTGACATGCTTTTTGATGTAGGAGCTCTGGAAATAACGTTAAGATAATGAGTGAGAGCCGTTCTTACAGACACGGTGCGTAGGCACTAGGGTGTACATAGAGATCACCATGGAGATAAGGCAGACTGTCCATGGACATCTGATTATTTCTGTGCCAGTTCACGCATGCGGACGTGTGGCACATTCTCTGTAGGCCTTTGCATCAGCAGAGGCTTAGGCCTTCAACCAGTTCTTAGTTCAACACAGATGCATTTAATGAAGAATGTATTATAGATTTTAAAAAAATGTTATATGGTCCTATTTATCCTGATAATCAAAGACCACAAAACAGGATTGGTTAAAGCTTGCTTGTTTTTTTTTTTTTTTTTATTTTGTGTCTTTTTTTTTCTTTTTGCTTACTATTTAAACAGAAAATGAATAGCATCAAGCAGACGTGTTATGTCAGAGACCACTGTCTTGATACTGGCCCATTTGCTGTATTTCCCATTGAATTACCTGCATCTATTTCCAGATGTCCATTTGATCAACACAGGGCCTTGTGCTGCAGGTGCCCAGCTCTAGTCCCAATGACACCTCTCCATCACATTCTGTTCCGCACACATGATTTCCTCCAACCCAAAGTCTGCATCGGTGTCTGCATGTGCTTGTCCCGTGTTTGTGCTGTTCTAGCTCAGAATCTCCGGTCTCGGTTCTGAGGGACAAATGGCGGGTAGCGGTAAGGTCACTGGAGAGCGGGGATGTGGCTGGAAAGGGCCGCCTCGCTTTCTGTGCGACAGACAGAAAAGCAGGCAAAGATGCAGCGGGGCCCACAGCTTTGCTTTCCTTTGGAGAAGGACTGAAGGACATGCTGAAGATGATTGCAAGTCAATGGAAGGAGCTGCAGAGGCAAATCAAACGGCAGCACAGCTGGATTCTCAAGGCTCTGGACACCATCAAAGCGGAGATACTGGCTACTGATGTGTCTGTGGAGGACGAGGAGGGGACGGGGAGCCCCAAGGTAAGTGGCTTGAAGTTTGCTTTATTTCCCCGTATTCCTGTCTTCTTTTGAACTAGGCGCCACTGAAGTTTGCTTTCCACCCCTAAGGCTCTTCGTTTCTAGTGAGTAAACTTTGTAACTCCTTCTCCCTCTGTCTCCCTCCGTGTGTGTGTGTGTGTGTGTGTGTATGTGTGTTGAAAACAAAAGGCGAGAACTTTCAAGTTTTCTAGGACTTGAAAACAGAAGGGGGACAGGATTCTAGGGGTGGGAGAAAGGGGGGGAGGCATAAAACATTTAGTAAACAAAACATAAAGCATCTTTAACATGAATAATCAGAATGGTTTTAAATTGTTTTGTTGCAACTATAAATCACTATAATCAGTGCAATCACTCAGCTCTGACATCCATTAGCCGCTTGGTTACAGCAAATTAACAAAGAAGGGAGAAAGTGATTCATTATCTCATTCCTGTTAATGACTATCAGATGCATTGCCTAATTAGGGGATGGTCATTGTAGTGCGAAGAAGGTCATATGCTTTGCTACAAATCTTTTTGCTCTGAGTGTAAGTTTTCCATAATGGCGCACGCACCGAAGGCAGCAAGTATTTTAAAAACGAGTATTGGCAGGCTTTGATTATCCATTTTAGATTTACAAAATTGTCTTGGAGACATAGGCCACCGAGCACCAAATGAAGTGCCTGTGAGTGTAGCGTGCTCTGGTCGTAAAGGTGAGTCCTTTAGACTTACCGTGTCGAGGACAATTTTATTAATTTGACATTTTCTTGTAGTTTCTCACTTTGTGAAAAGGAGTCCAGAAATCTGTAGACTTGGGACCAGAGCCTAGTGTAGCACGGAGGGAAGCAGATGGAAAAGTTCAGTTTCTATTCCTGGCATGGACACAGAGAGGGACATGGTCAAATCCCATTTCCCCAGCGTGGCCAGAGCAAACTAGCAACCGCTTTGCCCTCTGAGACTCAGATGCTTCAATACAGGCAGAGCTGGGACCCAAACCAGCCCCACAACACTGAGACCGTGCAGCCAGCCGGTGGAAAGCTCAGAGGACCTCTCTTTATCTGTTGGAAAAGAATTGAATGGCAAGATCAGTCCCACCGGAACCTCCACCACAGAGGAGGCCGCACTTCAGGAAATACTCGAAGAAAGGAAGGGAAGTGGCTTGGCACAAGAGCACATATTTTAGGAAGGAATGTGATTGGAGGTTCAAAGCCGCAGCTGAAGCCAAGGACTGGCATGTAGGCATCAGACTTCTCCAGGCAGAGGAAGCAGACCGCAGGGGGAAGTTGATTGGCCAAGGCTTCACTGTAGAAGAGGGGCAAAAACTATCAGAATGGGCACAACTAAAATCTGGGTTGTGTCCTATTTCTTTAACAAAAAGAGGGGTTGGGGTGTGGCCTAGAGGTAGCACACTTGCCTAGGATGTATGAGGACTTCGGTCGTGTTGCAGACACCACAGAACGAGAGCGCAAGCATGCTACCGCTACCTCATTCAGCATCTACTCCCAGGTTTCATTGGCGTACTGAGAACAAAAAGCTTATTTTCTGAATTAATGCTCCTCTGTCCTGTAGTACTTTCCTGTCCGCACACAAGCACACATCATATCTGAAACAATGACAAGAAGAGATTGTGTCTTGTGGGATCGACACATGGGGAACCTGGGAGCTGCAGAGGCAGACGAACCCCAGGCCTTCCGCTGGTACCAAAGTTAGTTCCCTCTTCACCAGTCTGGGCTGGATTCTACCCCAGATAAACAAACACACTCATATTCAAGGATGAATGTAACATAGATGCAGGGTTAAGCTACTTTGGGGTAAGATGAGATGACGATTTTTCCCTATTTGTTTAATGTTTATAAATTGTTTCTCTCAGACTTGGGGCAAGCTGAATACCAGGGAGGTGGAGACTCCAGGTTAGACCGTCTGAACGAAATGACTACTAGGTAGACAATTACCTGGCTTCTCTCTTTCTCGTATTTATCATCTGTAAAATAAAGGCAACGGGGCCAACAAGATGTTCAAAGGACAGAGGCACTCACCATCCGGCCCCTTGACCTGGGTTCAGTCTCTGGGAGACCTACACGGTGGGAGAAAAAGCTGACGAAGTGGTCTCTGGCCTCCACGTGTGTACTGTGACATGCAGAAGCCAAGCCAACCTCTCTCTCTTCTCATAGAACATAATGGTATATATATTTTAACTCTTCAAAGGGGTAAAATTATAATTCCTGCTTCAAAGATCTGCAACATGGATCCTTTTAAAGAGGCCTTAGAATGAGAGGGTGTTTTGCATACTCAGGACACAGAGGCTTAGGATGGCTGAGGATGGAGGCCAGCCTGCCCATTAGGTGAGCTTGAAATCAGCAGATGACATAACAACGGTGCTGAGGCCAGAGCCTTGACTGGAATAAATCTTCAGTAGGGTGAACTGTGATGTCGAAGCCTTCCTGTTCTAATGACACAATAGGCAAATAATTATAACGGATTTGGTAGAACGCCAATAGAAACTGGTACAAGATGCTATAGATGGACAGAGACCTCAAGGAAAGATCTGGAAGGAGCTCACCCTTTGAAATAAGGGTAGAAGGGTATTTGCCATGGTCCAAGTAACAGGCAGGGGGACCAACATTTTTAAAGACTCGATGTGAGAAGGTTGGTATGATTGGAACCCAGAACCATGGCCGGGATGATTATGTTCGGCTGTCAAGGTCTGTGCCAAGGCTCCCGGTGTCACAGGAGTGACCTTTACCAATTAGTGACGGGAACAATTGCCAGGATCTAAGTCCTAAGGACAGACATACATATTGCATAAGAATTTTATCTTGTGTCAAGCAGTGCAAACTGAATCGGGCTGCCTGTGAGTCCCTCCAGCCCGAGAGCAAGCCTCCGCTCCCTGTCCTTCACGGGAGCCTTCTTCCCACGACGTGACCTTGCTCAGGTCACCCGCAAGCTGCGCCATGAGATGCATCCCCAAGCGAAGCAGTATGATCGTCCGTTTCATCTTAAACCCAAAAGAGAAACTAAAATTAAAACATAATAAAAATAGTTTCGGAACTTCTCTTAGGTTTACTTCAGAAGCGACTGGGAGCTTGAGAAGCGTAATAGGAAATCTAAGGAATATATCTGGGGGGTATTTTTCTTTTTTACCTTGTTTGAGAGACTGCAGAAAAGGGCTTGGTCTTAGAAATCTTGTAAAGCAGGAGGATGGGAGGAAATTCAAAGACTCTGGGAAACGTCTCCCCCAGGACCCAGCAGCATACCTTATTTGTTGTATTTCATTTTTTAAAAAAGTATTTTCCCAGGACTGCGGGATCTTTTATACTGGGAAATAGAGGGCGGAATCCATCAGTTCTGGAACTACAGCTTCAGCATGCACATCCAAGAATGTAAAATATGCTTGTAATTATGTATTTTAAGAAAGGTTGATAAAAGTTTCTCACCTTAAACTAGAGGCTTCGTATTTTAAACATTTCAGTGATGTGCTGCTGGGAGGATTTCAAAATATAGTGACTACCCAGTGCCTATCCAATGCTGAGTTTCTTTTTTTGGACCTTTCAAAGTAAAAGCCAGGCCATCCTAAAGAAAAAAATATTAATTGACATCATCTCCTTTAAAACGTTCCCACGTGCCCTCTTTTCTCTCCCGATGCTGGCATCCTTCAGGACTTAGAATCAGGACCGGGGTCTTCCTGTGTGACTTACCCAAGTTTGCAACACCAGCTTCTTCATCCTTTCAAAGGAAACAGACAGGTCTCTAGAATCCAGAACACCTGCAGATTTTATTGTAAGAAATCCAGAAACCTTGCAACCACGACAGACAGGGTGACCTGGCTCGGTTCCAAGAAGCATCTTCATTTCCTCAGCGAAAGGATACTGGTGTCAGGCTACTCTGGACTCCAGGGATGCTAATCATCCCCCTTCTTTGAGGGTCTTAGATTGAAGTCATCCTCCTTTGGAAATGGGTACCAGACTCCAAAGGCCATCCAAGGATATCAACACAGCATTAGCTGGAGAGCAAACTCACAGATACCTTTGAATATGTTTGCTGGGGCCTACAAATGACAGTTTTAGCTACTGCCTTGAGATGGGGATTTGTGTTCCTTTTGACTTGGGGAGTCAGTGGCTGTTGGACTTGTCTTCAGATGTCGCGAGAGGGAAGTCCAGGCTTAACACATACTCTGGTATATTTGTTTACCTGATGCCCAAGTCTTGACCCAGTGCTTAGGCAAATAAATTATGTGTAACTCTTCTCAATGAAAGAAATATAAAAGAGTGATTTGGGGGACACATTAAGAAGATGCTCTCGGTATTACAAGATGCCTTTGGGATAATATTGTAACCTTATGGTATTATTTTGGAATATAGTTTCATCCTGAATCTGTTGAAGCATCACCGAGACTAAGCATTGTCCCTGCATTCAGCTCTGTTCGAGCTAATGGACGTATGTGCTCAGTATGTTCTTTAATATAAGTTCTTCATAAAGAGCATTAAGGTCATAAGTGGGAACCACATTAATATATTGTCAGTTCCTGTACGGAGACACATTCATATTAAAAGCTACTCAAGACGCCCTCCTTTTTACCCAAAGCAAAGAAAAACATAGCTACCTAAGGTCAAAAGAAAGTGGAAATGAGATAGTAAGATTCAGTTGTACCTAATATGGGGAGAAAGACAACAGGCAAAGGCCTAGCTGTGTGTTTATTGAGTGCCGACAGGAACCTCTGCCCAGTGCTGAGCCATACACGAGAGAAGACACGCTCCCTTGCTCAGTGGTCTTATCATTCATGTAAGCACGTAGTGTAACGCCTTGTCTAACGTGCTTTGGGCTATCTTAGATCTAGAATAATAGATCACCTACGATTCAGATCATCTTAATTAGGATGTTGGCAGCCTGAAATGGAACGGTGTTCTTGATGAAAGCAAATGAGTAGGAAGCGCATTGCCACTTCCACGGCATCCGTGCGGAATCCTTCCCGCAGCCAGCTCTGACGCAGACCTTCCTCGCTCAAGTAT